AAAATTTGTAATACACTTAATACACGTGATTACTCATTCCATTGGCTAAATTCATAAATGATTTACAGCAAAACTTCGGCAACTACTAGTTCATAAGCGTTTGTATTATTTCCATTTTCAACAGAGCTTACTGTACTGTACGGGTACTTTCCTTATTTCCCATTGAAACAGTTTAATGTTATTTTCGTGAGTAGTTACCCGGCCTAATGTATTATACTTTTAGTTTAATTGATTTTTTTCAATTAGGTATTTTTTTTCAAAATTGTTTTATCCTCTGTTTAATTTTCTTTGTAATTATCTAATATTAACTTTATTGACATTATCCATTTTGAATAGAACATAATCAAATACTATTCTAAGGAAAAAAAAGAAGAGATGAAAATAAATATACTGTTGAAACTGGTTTTTAGAAAATGGCATTTTCGTTAATATAAACTGCCAGTTCTATATGTATGTTGCCCATAATATATATATATATATATATATATATATATATATATATATATATATATATATATATACTTTGCTTCGTTATCTGACATATTGAAATGATGATTTGAGGTTTGTGCTGATTGAAATAACCTCATTCTTGCTTCTTTGTGTTTTGGATAATCAATCAGAAAGTGAAATTCATCGTCAACTTTATTAGTACCACACCTTTCACGCATTCTATCATTTGCTTTTGTTTTTGGTCTTGTATGACGACCTTTCTTTACATTAAATTATGATCACTAATTCTGAGTTTGCATATATATTTTCTATAAATTGAATTTTTAATTTTTGTCAAGTAGTGCTCTGTTTTAAATTCTTAATTTATTATTTTCCTCAGATTTAGAGTTTTCTGAATTAATTGCTCTTCTCCACAAATATACTTAACTGGCTTCTATTTGATCACTTATGTGATGTATGCTTTTCTTGTTTTTTTTCCAATAATTATTAATTTCACTTTCGCCTATTATTTCTTGTATTGATTTTGCCCATTGTGATTGATCAATAATATTACAGAAAATTGCCCCTTTACTATTTGTTTCCATTTTTTACATATTTTATACCAATATCTGACCATCATTTTTTTTATGAAAACTGAGATTGGGTGTCAAATTTAATTTTTCTATATATGTTTTATCTGTATACTTCTCTGAACCCCATATTTCACATCCATAAGTTAGTATTGGTCTTATTATATGGTCAAAAATGTTGATCCAAGTTGCTATGTTGATATTTGTTGATGTGCTAATTATTTGTTTAATACAGTTATATGCTTTTAATACTTTCTTATATAAATGTTCTTTAAATTCTATTCCTAAATATTTATAATTTTTAACTATATCTAGTTCTTCATTTTCATAACAAACACTATACTTATGATTTAATAATTTGCCATTTTTATTAAAAATCATAATTTTTGTTTTAGATGTGTTTACTTTTAGGTTACACTGCAGTAGGATGCCAACTTATTGAAACAATTTTGCAAAGCTGCTTCAGTTACTGACACAAATACAAGATCATCAGCATATAACAGGCGACTAATTGTATTGTTGTATTGGTTTACATGACTTATCTAGTTGTCCTGGTAAATCATTTAGGAATAAATTGAAGAGTATTGGGCTGATGTTACAACCTTGTCTTACACCTCTGAGTGATTTGAAATCATTAGTCATTCTATTGTTTAATTTTATATTGTATCTCACATCCTCATACATACTTTTAATTACCTGATATATGTTTCCAGTAATATTATTCTTTAACAATTTATAAAACAGTTCTAGACGCCATATGATATCAAAGGCCATATGCTATTAAACTCTGTTTAATTGATCGCTATCTAATTGAAATTAATTCATCCTATGAATGTGTGTCAGTGAGCTAGCTAATGACGTTTACCACAACCGAGGTGGTTCTTGGGTGGTGGGGAGACTATTCATTGGCCCAATCCGCAGTACAAGAATACTAAAGCATATTATTTTGCCAAATTGAACAGGTGCAACACTATGCCACGAGTAAATAAATTAAAAACCCGGTGTGACTGCTGTACAAGAAAATGAGTCAACACGCCGTGTTATATGACATGGAAGTGTTTTTATCTCTTTTATTTATCAAGTTTAAATAGTAGGATCAAAGTATGTCTATCAGGTATCTTATTATGATGCTATCACTGACATTTTTCCGTAGCCTAGAGCTGGTTTATACGAGTGACGTTACTGAAGGTGCACCGTGACACATTTGTAGTTGTAGGCGCCGATCGTTTTCGATTATTCTGTTATTATCTTTCGTAGCTACTGCAGTGTAGAACACGTTGAAATAGCTGCATGCAATTTTAGCGGATTTGACTCTTGGCATGAATTAACAAAATCTTAATTTAAAGTATCGACTATCTATCTGTGAGAATATATCTTGTGTTAAATTAGCTGCATCTTAAATTAGCCAAATAACAGATTAGCTAAAATAGCTAAAATAACATGCTAGCTAAAAAGACATGTTTTAGAGTATTTTTGGTCAAAATAATCGTTCAGTCGGCATAGTTATGAGTTATAATTTTACCATGCAAATAATTGTTATTCGAATTGAAATTTAGATAAACACTGTAACGTCCCGTGTTTTATTTTCACCGGGTTTACTGTTTGGTCAGCAGTGGCATTCCACATTAAGATTACAGCTGTGAGAGATATGCATCATAGTCAAGCTATATGAAACGGCAAGATCGAAATTCTGTTGTTGTTGTTACAGTATCAGCCGATGAGCCAGTGCGGCTGTTGATGACTGTCTTCGGGACGGTGTAGAGGCTACAGACTATTCCGCTTTAGAATTTGTTTACGTATTCGAATTATGGATGTTATCCATGACCATTGCTCACGTAAGCAAGGGGAATGAGCAGCGTTGTAAATCAACCAATCAATCAATCAATCGATCGATCGATTCATCGAATAAACAAATAAATAAATAAATTTACGACATTTGGAACGCAGCTTACAAACTCGTCCATGGATAGTTGAAGTACTGAAGTACAGACGAGCTTTTTGCAAAAGACATCTCTGCAAGACGCCACCTTCGGCAGGATAGAAGTCCCGTCTTGAACAGAGGTGTACAATACACTGGAGTTGTATACTTGCGGTAGTGAAATACTCAAGATTACTGAGACCTAGCCATAATGATTGTTTTGATGTCAGATCTTAGGGTGTAACTGATGAGTGGTGGTTAAACCTCGTTGATCGAAATACTGATAGATTCTTGAAGGCCTGACTGTGTAGAGACTCAATTTAAGTCTGTGGATTGAAACATGGAACCACAGACCACAGTCCCTCTAGATAGAGGGACTGTGCACAGACGAACCCAGGACAAAGACGAGCATTATAGTATCCAGTTGGGAAGGGAAAAGAAGAAAACAATTCTAATAGTTATTTGACTAAAGACAATATATATGCCATTGTTAGGTCGAATGCCATCAACACTAGTCTTCTATTGTCTTTGTTATACAATGAAGAAGTTGAAATGTATATTCACAGTCCTTAGGGACTGTGGTATATTACTGTTTAGGCGAGTCATTTCATTTCCGTTGCCTAGTATTACCATATTCTTCTGTTTTAGTTTGCTGAGTGTAAAGTTACAAAACGAATCCTTTACCAGTGGGACAAACAAAGAAAGTGACGGATTTTAGTGTGTAGCACACTACCAAGTCCCAAGGTGATACCGGCATCTTAATTGTCAATGCAATGAAAAGTCTGTTTTAATTAATTATAAGTAAGCATGTATTTGTTGTTCACTGCGAGACCCCGCATTATGCGTGAAATCGAACGTAAAATCAGGAAAAACATAGGCTGTAGCGTCGTAGTGGCGACAAACATCGCGTGGGATTCGACAAACGCTAAAGTATTTTGTGGGATATTACCATGCTTAATAATGTGCTGTACACATTTGATAATAGTCAATTTCGATGAAGTAAGGGTATTCAAACGCAATATTCCCCTGTCAAAGATCGGCCTTTCGATGTGAGTTACGAAATAAAGAAATTCGAGCTCAAAAGCACAACGTTCAGTTTTTGCTGCATACGTTTGGCGCGCGTCTTTAAAATTTGGAGAAAAATAATTTTACATTACATAAAAATACATTTTACCAACTCAGCTGTGTTCAGAGAAATAAAACTGCTCAGCCAAATGCAGAAAATCTCCGCTCCCACAAACCTGTAGATTATTTCCTATCCCACTCGATAAACATCACACGAACAGCTTCGTTGACTGCTTCCAAAAGTTGTATTGATGTACTAGTTTATCATTGCTGACTGGTGTATATTATTAAAGAGCGGCGGTGGTCGTCTAGCTGCGCATGTGTGACATTTGTGTTGATAAACATGGATTTTCCCACAATCCAGTGCGCTCTTCTCATTGAATCAAAAGTATGAGGTTTGACCTGGGCGCGACTTGCACTAATTACCGCCGGCGACTCCTTCGATACCTTCCTATCACCAATTTTAAGCTTGGTAACGTCTCAGTTTGTACTCGTTCGTCTGCGCAACAGTCAACGTCGCCATCTTTGTTTATATAAGACCATATATCTCGCGCATGCGTGGCGCGATGGCCACCGTCCTTTAACGTTGAAGTCCACTCATAAAATCATGAAACTATTGTCTCATGGCAATTTTTTTTTAGAACAATTCAAAGTTAAAGAAAAAAAGCGTTCTTTGAATTTTTTTAAAACTCATTTAGGCTACAATTTGAGATGTGGCAACATATCTATGCATTAGGAACCTGGTGCAAAAGCGTTATAATACAGTCAAAATGGTCATTTTCAACTAAACTACGAAAATTAAACTGGTGGCTCGGAAGTACAATTTAATGAAAGTAAATAAATTCCGGGTATTTGTATTTATGAGTAGGCTTCAGTCTTTCTACGGTGCGCTCGGGGAAAAAAGACAAATGAATATGCAGATTGATCATGTGAGGGCGGTCAGTCGACCTCGTGTTGATAATCAGCTGTTTAGATTGGCAGGCGCAGGCGATTCCTTCAAACGGCATCTTTTCACTTCAGAGTGCATTCGTTATGCTCCTCCGTAGAGTTGTCAGTCAGTCGCTTAAAAGAGATGTTCAATTTCGTCGTTTTGCCGGTACACTGAGTTTGGAGTCTCCTGCCAGTTTGAATTACGTGGATGATCACAGAATCACGGCGAATAACCCCGACAGATCTCTGGATTTTAAAGTCTACGAACCCGCCACAGGTGAGTATTGATTTGATTT